GGAGCTAACTATTCATTTATGTAAATGTGTATAAAATATAAATTTGCAATTAATAAAACTTTTATATTATAAAAATCCTTTTTTTCAGTGTAGCTAGTTAACTTAGTGTAAAGAAATTATATTGTGTGCAGTCAATCAAGTGAAAAGTTTTTTTTTCTTTTAAATTCAAATTCATCAAATTCATTCACTCATTTCTAATTAAAGTACAGCAGTTAAAATACTATTCAAAATTCATGGACCTAAAACGGCTCAAAATTGGTCTTTGTTTATTGAAGAGGAATATGTGGATACATCTCCCTGAATATTTTCATTTCCGTTATGAGCCCGTCTATCACTGATTTCATTAAGAATCCATGAAAGACTGCAGCTCAGTAACTCAATAGCCACTTCACACATTTGAAACACACACTAATTCAGACTTCTGACAATGTTGACAGCAGCAATGTTTTGTTTGTTATTTGGTCTCGAATTTCAGCAAGCTTGAAGCGAACTGAGAATAGCATATCGTTCTTTGCTATTATGAAACAACGAAATCATAACAGCAAACACAGTCATGCATCATTTCTCAGAGGAAACATTTAAATTACCCCTGCTGTTACACTGTTGTGCTACCCAAATCTATGACAGAGCAGAATAATTTCACACCAGTGCTCGCTTCCTTTTTTCAATTTCTCCCTCTGCTCTCTCTCTTCCAGCTCATTTCAATTAAAAGATACAACATGTTTAATGTAATTAAATATACAAAGCTCTATTCCAAAAGCTAGTGAGCTGCCTCGCTGTCTACCACCTACAAAGGCAGCATCCTAACTGAAATGGAACGCTCTACATACAGTAGGCAGAAACTGTGAGGCATACAAATAGCGCTCTTTGCACAAAGCTCATGGGGAACCAGAATGATTGATCGATTTCAGTGCTAAACTAATGATGTGATAAAAGCATAAAAATATATAGCACATACAAAAACTGGGTAAAATAGTATATTTTTAATTAGACAGAACTACACTACTGTTCAAATTTTGGGGTTGGAAAGATGTTTTCAACAGAAGTCTCATGCTTACCAGTGCTGCATTTATTTAGTCAAAAATACAGTAAAAATGTGAACTATTATTACAATTCAAAACAGCTGTTTTATATTTCAAAATATTTTAAAATGTAATTTATTACTGTGATGGAAAGGCTGATTTTTCAGCAGCCATTACTCCAGTCTTCAGTGTCACATGATCTTTCTGAAATGTTGAAAACAATTGTGCTGCTTAATATTGCTGTGGAAACCATTATACATTTTTAAAAGAACAGCATTATAAAATGCTGAATATTATTTTGAAACATTATAAATGCCTTTACTCTCACTTTTGATCAATTTAATGCATTCTTGCTCATTTCTTAAAAAAATATCTAACTTTTGAACAGTATGTATGTTTTGTTAATATTTTTAGTACTGAATGAATTATAATGATAGAGCATTTCACTTTCTTTCTTTGTAAGTTTGTCACAAATGCACCGTGGAACTGCATTTTCCACAAAAGTATATATGCAATGATGCCTTGCAATAATTTTTTAAAATAATTATACTATGTACCTTTTATGGCATCCTTTGCATCAAGACAGCGAATGCAATGCTTTAAAATGCTTCCTAAATAAACAGCTCACTAGGTTTTTAAACAGAACCATAGTGATAGCTTGTACATACAGACAGTGTGTTCAATTGCTGATACTATTGCTACAATATGAAGAGAATATTTCCAGAAATATACTGCGGTTAATACCGGGTGTTTGTCTGGTCGTAAAACATTCAACCAGCAATTCTGTAAAAATGATGATACTCTTATTGATGCTTAAATATAAACGCCTCTGGAGGCGCTGAGCAGGGCGTTAGATGAACCACTCCTATCTTCACAGCTATCTGTAGAAGACGACCTGATGATGATATAATGACCTTAATGACAAGATTGAAGCGCTGGTACAGCTCTCTGTCCACAGGCTTCAGCAGCCGCAGCTCAGCCGTGCTCCTGTTGAGTGAGAAGAATTCTGGGTATGTAGCAGGTTGACCTGAAACGCAGTACAGAGAGAGACACAAAACTTGTGCTATTATCTGATTCATGCCATTATTTATACTAAGCTACTGAATACATAAAAAGGGAATTTCCTATTTCCTATCTGAACTTATGCAGTCTGCTGTTTTAAAGACAGAACAACAACAGCACATCTGTCATTTTGATTATCAAAGATAAGTTTTAAGGGATAAAATATTTGACTACAGGGGGACTTTAAACCCTAATAACACATTTATTAAAGAACTGAGTTTCTCTTTCAAATGTATGGAAACATTAGTTAAGAGTGCAGTTATGTATATTGTGCATTGTGTATAATTCTTGAATTGAAGTACCTACCAACCAGTATGAAGTACAGAATTCCGGGTCTGTCTGAGGGCGGCTGGATGTTTCTGTCCTGGTCAATGGCTCGAATGGGAGGTGTCACATTCAGAGGGTTCAGTTTACTCTGGAAAAAAAGGAGACAGGAATAAATGACTATGGGGGCAAAAAAAGAAATCAGAGTTGGCTAAATGATTTCAGTATCTTTTTATATCTATGGTTTCACCCTAGTCTGGATTCAAACATTTCTCATCAAATTCTTCCAAGACCAAATAATCTGAACAATGCCATCCACATCATTTTATATCTCAGTAACACTTTACAATAAGGTCTAATTTGTTAATTTTAGTTCATGCATTAAAGAAATAATTAACCCGAAAATGAAAATTTGTTTCTTCATTGGATCAGTAATGGAGAAATTAAACATCACTTTTTCACCAATGGATCCTCTGCAGTGAATGGGTGGGTGGCGTCAGAATGAAAGTCCAAACAGCTGATAAAAACATCACAATAATCCACAAGTAATACACACCACTCCAGTCCATCAGTTAAGGGAGTTTTAACTTTAAATCATTACTTCTCGCCATAGTTCATAAAAACACAGTGAAAAAGTCCATCCCATGTTGTCCTCTTACATCCAAATCCACCAACATATTTTTTTGAACTGTTTTCTCTTATAAATGATTGATCTATGCATATTTCTCTCCTAATTCAGATGGCATGACTTTTTCACTGGAGAAAGCATTATTTTGGATAGAAGACTCATATTTCAGCTGGAGGCAAAATTTTGAAGTTAAAATGCCTCGATGGATTTTTTTTTCTTACAACCACGCTACAAAGGATTATTGTGATGTTTTTATCATCTGTTTGGACTCTCATTCTGACGGCACCCATTTACTGCAGAGGATCCGCTGGTGAGCAAGTGATGTAATGCTACATTAGTCCAAATCTGTTCTGATGAAGAAACAAACTCATCTCCATCTTGGATGGCCTGAGGCTGATTACATTTTCAGCAAATTTTAATTTTTGGGTGAACTATTCCTTTAACTAACATTAAGTAACAATGAGCAACACATTTGTTACAGTATTTATTCATCTTTGTTAACGCAAGTTTAGCTGTTCACTGTTAGTTCATATTAGCTCAGGTCCATGAAATAATATGAACAGATAGTACAACGTTGTGTCTACTTTTATTACTCCAAATTGTAGGAGAAACATCTGAAACAAAGCTGATACATAAATAAAACATTTTGAGATCTCCATTAAGTCTCAAGCTATGAAAGAGCATCCACTGAGGTACAACGTTTTCCTCTGGGCTAAAAGCAAAGCTCTTGGGACACTTGATTGTATTAATCTGTGCTCTACAGATGAGTGTGCATTTCGTGCAGACAAATACGGCCTCAGATATGATAATAAGAAGCATCTCCTTTGCGATGGGTGCTTCATTAAAATGGCAGCGTAAATACAGGAGCTCAATGTTAAATATGTGAGCACAGTAAATCAGAATTCTTGCCCACCTGAGATGTTTAAAACTACCCATAATCCCCCCTCCAGCAGGCATCAGGCCGATTAATCTGTGCCTAGAGACAGGAAAAAGACTCTCGAATCATATCCCAGCTCTAATTGTGAAATATGTGACCTCATTAATTACCACTATTCCTGCCAAAGGAAATGAGAGAGAATCTATGTTGGGAATGGAATTGTAGCAAAATGCTCACTGCATACTGCACAGCACACACTGACTACTGGCCAGTATTGTTTTAAAGCAGCACTATGTAACTTTTGGCACTCTAGCGGTTAATAAACAGAGCTGCACACATCCCGCGGAAGAACATTCCAACCGGAGCTACTTCTCTAAGTTTATGTCTATGGCGATTCACGAAGGTACTCCGCAGCGGTGACGACCCGACCAGGCTACAATAGTCCAAATATAAGTACTTATTATAAATGTACCGTAGTGATTCGGAATAAGACAAAAACGCGGTTTGGAAGATGAATTCATGATGTACTCGCTCATTATATACATTTAGAAAAGTTTGAACACAGAAAAAGTTACATAGTGCTGCTTTAAAATAGTATCTGAAAAATAACGCATTATGCATTGATACAGGATGTGTTTACAATAACTTATTAAAATATTACTCTTGAAATCCCTGCAGTACCATGTGTAGCATGTGAATTTTCAGTTTGTACTGTATAAAAAGATAGATGAAAGCCACGGATGAAATAAACATGCAAGGTAATGAGTTTATGTGACAATATGTATCATACAACTTTTAAAATATTTTCATAATGCACCCACTCAGAACATAGTTATTTCAAATAGTAGTACGCTATATTGCTGTCACATGACCCCATTATCATTATGTTTAATTTAGTTAATGAGATGAGTTATCATCTCAAACAAACAAATAAATAAAGATACACCACAATTAAAGTTTGTGGTCAGTAAGTTTATTATTATTATTATTTTGAGAACTTAAGAAATTATTACTTAATAATTATTAAGCAAGGACACATTAAATTGATCAGAAATGACAGTTTTATCAGTTCAGTTATGGCCCTGCTGTCAGTTTTAGGGTTGAGGTTGTGGCAAGTTTTATATATATATATATATATATATATATATATTTCTATTTCAAATAAATACAGTTCTGTTCTTTAGAGTTCTTTAGAACATCAAAGAATCCTGAAAAAAAAGTCTCATAGCTTCCACATAAATATTAAGCAGCACAACTGTTTTCAACATTGATAATAATAAATGTTTCTTGAGCATGGATCATGTGACATTGAAGACTGGAGTAATGATGCTGAAAATTCAGCTTTGCATCACAGGATTAAAT